CAGGCAATGGCGGGCCCTGGAGGGGAGGGGCCGAGGCGGGGGCTGCGCGGTGAGCAGGGGGGCGCAGGTGCGCCTGGCTTCCGCGCCGCCCCCGCCGCGCCCCTGCCTCCTCACCCACTGCCCCATCCGAAACCGCGAGGCAGGACGAACCCCTCGCCCCGTGGGTGGCGTCTCGCGGGTGCTGGTCCCCGGAGGTAAAGCTAAGCGGCCACGACCACCTCGGGCGGCGGGGGAGGGGTAAAAGCAAAGTCTGCCCGCGCCCCCGAGTTGAACACAGCTGTGGGGGGAGCTCTGGGCGCCGGGGGAGTGTCGGGGCGGGGGTGTGCTGAGCGGGGTGGGCCTGGCCGGGCAGAGGGGCCCTCCCCTCCCCAGGGAGCTTGGCCCCCAGCCGCTGTTCTTTCGCACAACTGGCTTGCGCTCCCAACTCACGCTTGTCTGTTTGCACCGAGTCAGAAATAGCCCGTTGAGGGAAATGGACGACTTGGCTCTTGGCCAGGGGCTGGAAGATGTTAGGCCACACTCAGCCAGCTGCGGCACATCTCGCGGGAGGGCTGGGGTCGGGGAAGGGGTGGGGGAGACAGCCGGGGGACATCCTGTCCGCAGGTGCCGAGGGGGAGCCCGGGGAGAGACGTGGGGCGCTGGGGGAGACTTCCTGGTGCAGCCGCTGTGCCGTGTGGCTGTGCCTTCAGCCCCTGGCCCGGTGTGCAGGGTGGAGCGAGCTGTGAGGTGCGGCGGTGACCCCTGTGGGTGCCCACGCCGTGGCCAGTTCAGGCTCTGACCGTTCCTGAGCGTGGAGGTCCTTGCTGCGTCTACCCAGGCCCATGGCGTCCCCAGATTGCGTGGTCAGGTGTCCCGGGGTCGCTGACCGGCGGGCTCTCCTGGCCTCGCTAAGTTGGAGGAGGCGGAGGCACAGGTGCTGACTATGTTGGGTGAACACGGCTCCCAGCTGCAGGCCATCCCACGGAGTCTCCAGCTGCCCCGCGGCGGGGCATCCGTGTCTGGAAACTGAAGTGAGCAGGTGCCGTGTGGCCCACAGGTTGGGAAGCTGTCATGAAGTCCGGTTTTCAGGCAACCACTGTGTGACACGAGGAGGGGGATTCCTGCAGCGTGCAGTCTCAGCCCGCCGGGCTGGGGGCAGGCTGCTTCCGAGCACGGCTTCTCCCCAGGGCGGTCTCTCTACCCAGTGGAGACCCGGCTCTGGGTTTGTGGTCACGGAGACCACGGACTCTGCTGATCTGGAAACAGATGGAAAGCCAGGGGCCGCACTGAGCAGGGTCCTGGAATTCAGATTACACGGCAGGTGCGCCTCCCACCCTGGCGGCTGTGTGGTTATCGCTGCAGGAAGTGACTCAGGAGCCCGGGAGAGGTCGGCTCCGAAGGCAGGTGGGGGCCGTGGCCGGGCTGCCGTCCGGCGGTCTTAGCACCGCGCCGTGCCGCTGGCTGCGTGCTGAGCTGCCGCCCGACACGTCCAGGGCGGGAGGACGCCCTGCAGAGCCGCGCCCACGGGCACGAGCGCGGTGTGCCTTGGCTCCTTCTTCTGAGCTAGTGGCCGGGAAACCAGAAGTGGAAACGCCCATGGAGGACGCGGTGTGGGGGGGCCCGGGGTCCGCAGCCCTGGGATTCGGCAGAACCCCCAGGCCTGTGCTCAGCCCCGCCGCAGGCTGCCGGCAGCTAAACAAGGCCCGCGCCGGCCCCTCGCGCAGCCCCTGCTGAGAGCCGTGGGCCGGGCAGGGAGGGTGCGATGGTGCGCAGGGCCCACGAGGACGCTGCGTGTCCAGTCCACGCAGCGCAGCCGGCCCGGGCATGGGCATGGTTTGGCTGCCGGCCCGGGGGGCTCGGTGAGTGCAGCAGCTCCCCGGGGGCTGTGGGCGCGGTGGCCCTCGGGCCTCTCCTGAGGCAGACTGGCGGCCCGCGAGGTGAGCTGAAGTCCTCGTGTCCTGGCAGGCTCTCCGCGGCCGCGTCGCTCTGTCGGGACATCGGGCGTTTCCAGCGTGCTGGTGGCACGACGCAGTCAGGATCGGCTGTGAGGGCAGCGGCCTGCTGCCTGCCCCTGCCAGGGTGAACACAGCTTGAACGGCCGTGAGCCCCTCCAGAAGCCTTGGCACAGCCCCCTGAGGGGCTTCAGCGGCGACTCCGTGGGTTAGAAGACAGCACCGGGCCAGGAGTGGAGGGGGATGTGTGCTGTCCAGGCCTGGCTCAAGGGTGGTGACCACAGGGCCTGGTGCTGGCTGGCGTGGAGCTGGGTGACCGCAGGCCCTGGTGTGGGTTCACGGGGGCCTGGGTGACCACAGGGCCTGGTGCTGGCTGGCGTGGAGCTGGGTGACCGCAGGCCCTGGTGCTGGCTGGCGTGGAGCTGGGTGACCGCAGGCCCTGGTTCAGGGGGGCTGGGTGACCACAGGGCCTGGTGCTGGCTGGCGTGGAGCTGGGTGACCGCAGGCCCTGGTGTGGGTTCACGGGGGCCTGGGTGACCACAGGGCCTGGTGCTGGCTGGCGTGGAGCTGGGTGACCGCAGGCCCTGGTTCAGGGGGGCTGGGTGACCACAGGGCCTGGTGCGGGTTCAGGGGGGCTAGGTGACTGCAGGTGCTGGCTGGCGTGGAGCTGGGTGACCTCAGGCCCTGCTGCTGGTTCAGGGGGGCTGGGTGACCACAGGTGCTGGTTCAGGGGGGCTGGGTAACCGCAGGTGCTGGTTCAGGGGGGCTGGGTGACCACAGGTGCGGGTTCAAGGGGGCTGGGTGACCGCAGGTGCAGGTTCAGGGGGGCTGGGTGACCACAGGCCGTGGTGTGGGCTCAGGGGGGCTGGGTGACCACAGGTGCTGGTTCAGGGGGGCTGGGTGACCACAGGTGCTGGTTCAGGGGGGCTGGGTGACCACAGGCCCTGGGGTGAGTTCAGGGGGGCTGGGTGACCACAGGTGCTGGTTCAGGGGGGCTGGATGACCACAGGTGCGGGTTCAGGGGGGGCTGGGTGACCGCAGGCCCTGGTGTGGGTTCAGGGAGGCTGGGTGACCACAGGTGCTGGTTCAGGGGGTCTGGGTGACCGCAGGCCCTGGTGTGGGTTCAGGGGGGCTGGGTGACCGCAGGTGCTGGTTCAGGGGGGCTGGGTGACCACAGGTGTTGGTTCAGGGGGGCTGGGTGACCGCAGGCCCTGGTGCGGGTTCACGTGGAGAACTCGCTGGCCCCGAGGCTGCTGAGTCGGCCGTGGGTCACCGTCGGGGGTCAGTGACACCACATCTGCTGGGGGAAGCAAAGACTGGAAGTCAGCGCAGGGGCAGAGCCTTAGGGAAGTTCAGGGAAAAGCAGAGTTCAGAGCGAGCGTGTCTCGGTGAGAAACAGCGGAAGTCTGTGCCGGCTTTGTCGCCACGTTTTCATCGACCTTGCGAACACCTCGTGCCTGAGGCTCTGCACCACAATCCACCTCCTGCAGCTCTGTTTCCCGTGCCTTTGTGAAGGATGCTCCTGCACAGGTCCCTCCGTGCCGGGTGAATCCCTGACCCTGGGAGCCCCCGCCAGAGGTGAGACAGCGGCTGAGGGGCGCAGACACGTCACCTGCGGAGCCCTTGCCCTCGGGCGGCCACACAGCTGCCGCGTGCCGCGGAACCCGGCTCCTCCCGTGGCTGTCGGCAGCTCCCCAGCAAGTGCCGGGGAAGCGAGGAGAGACGTGGCGGGTGGGCAGCGCGGGGGACACGCTTCAGCAAGCTGACCAAACGTCACCGCTGTTGGAAACACTCGGAACTTCCCACCTCATTCTGGGAGCCTGGCCTTAACAATAAAAGAGCCATGGACGCAAGCAGGCGTCGCAGCCTTATTTGCACGTTACAGAGGAGCAGAACTCGCGCAGCTGCACGGTCCGGGCCGACTTCTCCCCGGTGGCAGGCCTGTTGGAAGTGGTGCGGTACGTGTGTGCGATGCAGAGACGTGCTCATGTGATTTCACTGTAGGATAAAGATTTATTTGAAAGGCAGAGTTAGAGAGAGGGAGAGAGCTTGATCTTCCACCTGCTGGTTCACTGCCCGAAAGACCCCAATGGCCAGGGCCGGGCCAGCCTGGAGCCAGGAGCCTAGAGTTTCATGCAGGTCTCCCGTGTGGGTGCAGGGGACCAAGCATTTGGGCCGTCTTCCGCTGCTTTCCCAGGCGTGTTTGCAGGGAGCTAAACGGGAAGTGGAGCAACTGAGACTCGAACCCGTGCCCATACAGGATGCCTGCATCACAGGTAGCAGCTTAACCCACTGTGCCACAGCGCTGGCCTCATACTATTTAATTTTGTAAAAGGCTGGGA